TTTTCATTTGGGTCGCCGGGCGCGATTTAGTTTTCCCTGAACGAAGGGACCAGTTGGTCATTGCAGCTCGACTGCAGGCGCTTCGACGGTCGCACGAAGACTCGGCACGACGCTCGCGCGTCTGAGTTCTGACAGAGACCGGCGAGAGAGACAGCTGATCCGCTGCTTCGAGAACTACCTGACCTATAAAGGTGCCCCGCATAACTGACCCTTCTGAATCAAGGAACAAAATAGCCCTTGCGAGGGACCGAAATCGGCGGCACCGCAGCAGAGGGCACAAGCCGCTGCGGTCGTCCTCCGTCGATTGGAAATGTCAGAACGTCGACTTTGTGATGGTGTTTGCTATTGGAAAACTCGACGACTCCAAGCTTCTACCATGATCTTTACTGTACACACACACACACACAACGTCGGACTTTGGTGTTCGCAACTGATAAGTGCCAGATTCGCGGACGCGTGTGGCAAATCTTGAGCGAACGCTCGCGCTGCATCCGGGCAGAACCCAGATATCCTGTGTTCAATCCCCGCCCCTGCCCGTTTCGATCTGGATGAGCATTGTACCGGCGTGCGGTCGTGTATCACTACTGCGTGGTGCACGTTGAAGACCCTAGCTGCTCATCTACAGCAGGGGAGACAAGTCGCCCGGTTCTGTATAAACTCACGCACACCCCCATTTTTTTTAAATCTCGTCCAGATCATTTTTTGGTCGGTGCTGCTGGATCATGCTGGACACGCGAGACCTGGAAGCTTGTGTCGGTGCACGTGGCCAGAGGCACGCTTTGTGCACGTGGCAAAACGCGCGCTCCGGTCCGCGTGTTCGGGCGCTGGTGGGTCCTCGACGGCCCCTGTACAGTTGCCCGCCGTCTCTTTCGGACCCGCGTGTTCGTGCCGCCGTCAGCGGACGGGTTGCCTTCTCGGAGACCGTCTCTGCTCGCGGCTGTGGGCCGAACGACCGCGTACACCACCGCCGCGTCGTCCTCTTCGATGGTGCTGGCCTGGCGGTGGGCTGCTTGGGGTCCGCCACGGCAAGCTGCTGGTCGGACCGCGGCGACGGTTGGAGGGCCACTGGGTTCGTGTATGTCTGGCACGTCGTTGCGATGGCATCTCGACGGAACAGAGTACAGAGCGCGGTATACTGCAGTCGGAACGCGTGGTTATTGGTTTCTCTCTCGTGGCGTTGAAAGGCCGTCTCTAAAAGTACTCGCCGGGTCGGTGAGGAACGCAGTTAGGCGGTAAAAAAGGAGTAGGCCACCCGTACTGCAGTCGGAACGCGTGGTTATTGGTATACTGCAGTCGGAACGCGTGGTGTCGCCAATGTTTTGCTGTTTCTCGCTGCAGTGACGTGAAGTATTCAGCCATACTTGGTGGTTCATGTTCCCGCGAAAGAGTTCTACTTTATATCCATTTATTCGCAGTAAAATTTCTATTCACCACATTCGGTGGGAGTTGATACCACGAGGGCGCCACAGTATCTGGTGCCCCCGTAGCCTTCCGGTAGTTTATTTATTTATTCTTCAGCAACGCACAGCGGTCGGATAAGAAGAGTTGGCTTCAGAGAAGTTTCTGTAGTATGTAAGAACATTAGTGCAGTTTACAAAGTAGTGGAAATAATAAAAGGAGGAGAGGCAAATGGAAAAGAAGACGAAAACCGGAAACGCGCAGGGGTCCGCCGATAGGGGGTGGTAGTGAGCTTGTTTGCAAACAAACATCGGTGAATATTGACAAGCGACGTCGTTAGTTCCGAGTTTCGCGAAATGACGTCACGGTCAAGCATGATTGGATTCCGGTAGAATGGCTGTTCGCGTTTTCTTCTTCCTCCTAAACTTCCTTTCGCAAGTGTAATGAAAACCAACAGGCAATACGAAGCACATTTATTCGAGAACACGAAATGGCGCCTTTCAGTTCCAATTCTGCTGTCGTGCGCCGCCATATTCGCTTTCTAAACGCCAGGCACTCGGCGCTTTAAAAAAAAAAAAAATGTCTGTATACATTCAAGAAGCCAAGCGCCGAGTGCTCGCTGTTCCGGCCTACCGCGGCGAGTTGTCAACCTTTTTAAAGCCAGTTCACACGAGAAAATCCCGCCACACTTGGTTACAACTAATGTCGCTTTCTTATTCTTTTTGTGGCGTGTGGTTTTTTTCTTCTTTTTACTTCCTTTGAGTGGGTACGCGATGGCGTGTGGGCGGAGTGGTTTTGCAACTGTTGTGCGCAACTAGCGGAGGAGGGAGAGAGGGTGCCCGTCGTCGGCAGATCGTCACGCGTTTCTAGTGGTGGCGTGTCGGCGACCTCTACCAAATCAGCCGCGTCATCCCGCTAGGTGGGGGATGCGTCGGGAGCGACGACCGCGTACATTAGCATGAAAACGACTCGTTATGATAACAAGAAAACAAATTTTAACTGAATGGTGGTGTTCGCAAAAGTTTAAGTTGATCAATAACTTTTTTTTTTTTTTTTTTTTCTTTCTTCATCTTTCATTTATACTGACCCTAATTTCATTTTTATTTGGGCCTTCGTTGCACGTCGTGCGTTCTGCAGTTCTAAGAAAATTCTGGCAAAAAATGCAAAATTCAAAATAACGCAAAAAAAAAAATCTTTAAATACTTTTTTTTTTTTGTACGAATTTTGCATGGCGAGACTGATTTGAAGCTTGCGGTTTTCAGCCAAGTGTGCCTCCTTTTTGGATGAAAACTTGCCACCAGCGTATGTTAGATGTGCATGCCTTGCACTTAAAAGGACACTGGCTCGCCGAGGTTTTTAGTTGTACGTGACATATGAGAGCCCAACCACCCAGAACACTCTTTGTGGCTCGAAATTCGTTTTCTTTCCGCCCGAAAACCGCCGATCGAGAACTGGCCGGTTTGAGTCGCGCTCACTCTTCTTCGTGGTCACGTGCCGTTTTCTATGGTTTGGACACAATCGCCGAAGACAATCAAAGTCGTGGGTCATCGAAGGTACACACTCAATATTAAAAATAGAAATGAAATATACCAATTTTTTGTGGCTTCTAAAAAGCCGCAAATACGTTGACTGAAGAAAGAAAAGTTGCACAGCCACGTGACTTCCGCCAACTCTTCTCCTCTATATTCTTCCTCCCCAGTCCAGTTTCGGTTTCCAGCAGTTGCGTTTTTTTTTTCTTTCTTTATTAAAAATATACGTGCCGCTGTAGCAAAATATTAAGAAGTCGTCTGACATCATAATGAATCGCCTAGCAAAAAGAAAATAATTTTGGGGTGTCGGTGTGTCTCTAACGTCGTGCGGCACCGTATATACCAGACATGCTCCTGTGCCCATACCTTCTGCAGCGTACATTTGGACCCATCGAATCTCTTCCCCTCGGCAAGGCCTGCCGAGAATAACAAATTCCATCGCTCAAAATGTAGGCTGCAGAAGCTACGGGCACCAACCAGGGCATGGTCCGGAGCAATGGCGGCTGACGCGACGTCAATCCAGAGTCTACGCCGCGGAAAGATGCGAATACTTTTCTTTGCGTGATCTTGCTTGTCAGGGTGCTTCAGAGTTGGTGGGCGATTCGATGCGAGATCTTTTGTAAACTAGTACTGGTTAAAACGCTCCACTGAACCGGCAAATTGACACGCCTACAGACGTCGGCTCCAGGAAACCGGAAAATTGTGGCATCTGAGAAAGCAGAATCCCGTGTGGCGTGATAGCGACGATAATAGTCTTGGAGCTGACCACAGAAGACCCGTTCGTGCGTGCATCTCGTGTTCGTGCCTCGCTGATCGTCCGTCGGAGCATCTTTGTTGAGCGATGGAAATTCCCGGACTCTAGACCGTGATTGTAATGGAAGAAAAGGATAGTTTCCCCGCTGTTCGTTCTGTCTCGTACCTGTTGCCTGCACAGTCTAACCACATTCCATTTCTTCCTGCAAAGGGAGCAGTTGGTTGTCTACTGCGTCCAGTTTACACCTACAGTTTCTTTTGCGAAGGGAGTAAATGGGCCGTTTTATTCCACCCACCGTGTTTCGTAGTACGTGTCGCTGCTCGGTGCCTTGTTTACCACCGCCGGTTTCTCTCGCAAAAGGGAGTAAATGGGCTGTTTACTCCACCGAACCTGGACGGCACTAATGTTAATGATTATCTCGGGTTGATTCGCGACTTTCCTGCTGGTCGGTCGTCGTGCGTAGCAGGCTCATTGTGCTCGGGAACCACGAGGAAACGAGGGGGTGTCTCAGTCCGTAGGGTTCGATAATTATAGTGTAGGGCAGCCCGACGTTATGTTGATGTCGACCTCGGTCGTTTTTCCTCTGCCTCTGATGAGTCTCTGTCAGTTACGCGGTAGTTCAAGGTCGCGAGTGCCGTCCTCGAATACAACGTTTTGGGTGTATCGGTTTATCGGTAACTTGTCGGCAAACGTCAGCTGCGCACTTTTCGTTTCGAGTGTATGGGAGGCTACAGTTTTTTTCGGGGATTTCTGGTGAGATAGTGGGATGTAAAAATCCGAACAAGTTCGAGATTCTGCTCACGCGCTGTCGCTGCTTGACGCACGCCGGATAGAAGCTACTTCCCTTTCTAGGTTCGCAGTGTTGTGCAAGAAGCCATGCTCGAGCAGTTGTGGCGCGTTCTAGCTTGTTCTGTCGACGACTGTAAACGCCGCTTGCCAACAACATACCTTACTCTACGATAAATCTTTTCCTTCGCGAGTTGCATCACGAGATGCTCTTCTTGAACGGGCCAAACGAGTGGTGTAGACGTATACACGTGTGTGCGTCATTGCTTTAGGCGTCTATTTAAGACTCCGATAGTTTTCATTTCTTTCCACACACACACAGACACGGCCGGCAGGTTATCCGCCCTCCTGTCTGCTTTTTTTTTTTTTTTTTTTCGCTAGAAGTCGGAGCAAGATAGATGCTTATCGAGTGTTGGCATCAAGCACCGTTTGCCACTGCCCGCGGGTGAGGACGTCCCACCGTAATTCCGACGTCAGACTCCCGCTGGCCACGTGACCGGACGACTTTTGCCCCTTGCCAACTTGCCCGACTTGGCCGTCGTCCTCCGGAGGTTGCGGGGAAGATCCTCGCGTGGCGCGATCTCTCCCCCTTTTTTGTGACGTCGGTTTGGTTTTTTTAAGCTGGTTGCTGGAATGTCGTCTGCGTCATTGGCGGAAGAACCCTCGTTCGTTTGTAGCGCGGTCGGTTCAAAGTCACGCCGGTGCGGAGAAACATAACGTTACTCGGCTCCCGTCGCTGCGGTCGTGTCGGGTTCATTCGTTTCGAGTTGCTGCTTGCGGACGCACGCTGCTCTCGTGGATACGGGTCGCGGACGTCTGTCTGCCTTTCTTGAGTGGTCGCCTACTTCAGGAGCACGCGGCTGGGATTTTGACGTGTGGTGGGGGGCTGCTGCCAGCGCGTGCGGATTCTATTTTCGTTTGGTTCCAAGTTACAGCCCTCAGCGGGTGAGTAGCAAGAAAGCATGGACGGTGTAGGGGGAAAAAAGGAAATCTAATCGGGTATGTGACTGATGTTTCGGTCAAACTGCGCGGGACTGGGACTTCTTTGACAGCTTGGGTTTTCTTTTCGGCTCTGAGATGACCCGTTTTCCTGGTTCTCTTCATTTTTTTTTTTTTTTCTTCTTCGTGCTTGTGTACAGTTTTCTTTCGTTGTTGTGAGTGTGGCGTGTGTACCGCTCGTCTCGAGTACGTATTCTGGGAGCGATTGTTAGCGACGCGATTGGACGCGCGGTCTTCGGTGGCTAGTCGCATGAATCGCTCTGTCCTTGAAAGGGCCGCCGCTGCTGCCACCACCACTTGCTCGCATTTATTGTTGACTTCGTTTTTCTCTTTATCTTCTCCTTTTATTTTTGCTGGACGCGGTTTGGCCTTTCGCCATCTGCAGTGTGCTTCGCTCGTCTGTGCGTGCGTTCTGCGTTTCTTGAAGTAAGCCACGTGGCAACAATGTCAAGGAAATCGAGTGGGATGATCTCGTCGATTCCACCCAATGTCCCATCGCGTGTTGCACCCCCCCCCCCCCCTTTTTTCCCCCTCTCTTCGTATGTTTTTCTTCCTTCGCTTTGATTTCAGCTCGGTCACGTGGCCGTGGTTTTGCCCTGCAGCCCAAGTGTCGTTCTCGCTTCAAACCGTCCCTTTCTCCTCTCCTGTTTTTTTCCTCTCTTGCGTCCTCTGTGTATGCCGGTTTTGATATCGCATGCTGTGGCTATCGTGATCCTCTCGTATTTGGAACCATGAAATTCTCCCGCTCTGTGCGGGAGTTTTAATATTGCGCATGTAATGGGTGCATGTTGTATTTGGAGCAATGGAATTCTCCCAGGCGTCTGACCGCGACCTCCAGTTGAAAAATGCGTCGAAAAATACGTCCGCCGTGGGGTCTGCGGTCTGTCGGAACTGTATCGTTCCCTGACCTCCATATCTTGCTGTGTACATTTCTTTCCTATCTTGGATCTTGGTAGGTCGTATGGCCAAGACCCAAGGCATTGTTTTACGCTTTCTCATATTTTTTTTTCATAAAAAGAGGAGCCTGTGTGCAGTTCTTTTGCCGTCTCATTTGCATTAATTGCTTGCTTCCTGAACAAGATAATTATAGTTTAATTGTCTTTCCTCGTTGACATTCGTTTCTAACCCGTCTCATCCGTGCAAAAGTTCCAATGAAGAGGTAGCTATGCGGAGTAAGATTCTGTAAGCTCATATTAATACCAGCAAATGGCTTGGAAAGAATATCCTAGATAATATAGTAAGGACGCAGGCGAGCTGGTGAATGTTACCATGTTCAAAAACCTGAGACTGGGGAAGAAAAGAACATATAAATCGAAGGAACAGAAAAGGACAGGACGACGCCTCAAACTCAGCTACCAGGTTTATTTAGTCCGCCTCCTTATATAGCCCACAATCGGCCACCGCCAACACAGAGTCAACCTCTAACCAGTTCAAACGCCAAACCCTCCAATCAACGACCACCAACACAAAGGGCCAACCTCTAAACAGTCCATAGGACAAACCCTCCAATACACAAAGTAGTACTATGGACGGCCTTCATGCGGATTCACAAAGATAACTCTAAAAAAAAACAATTGTTTTTTCATATAAACAAAAAAAAAACACCAAAACTTTAGGCTAGCGATGGAGGAATGACACACACTGATCCTAAAACGGGAGAAGTCGTCCTGTCTTTTCTGTTTGTTCGACTTGTATGTCCTTTTCTGCCCCAGTCTGAGGTTTATTCAACATGGTTAAGAGTATCCTGTCAGTTTTTCAGTATAAACAAAGGTAGAACCGCGGAATATCTTGTAGGCTTTATTAATATCTGATAAAGAACTTGAGAAACATCAAAAGGACTTTAGTCAATAGATAACTTGGCAAGATAAGCGTCCTGTGGGCTTGCAAACTTCAGCTGATGAAACTTGGCACAAGCATTATTTTCTGGACTTCAATCCCAGCCTCGAAGGAAGTTGGCAATTAGCTGATCAAAGGCTTTGTAAGCTGGCATGCAGTGTTATCCTTCTATAATCTTGTGGGGAACAGCCAGTGCACGTTTTACAGAGCTTTTGGCCCGATATTACTGTCATAAGATAACGTTTGGCAGCTACAAATCTCTGTTTGGGAGCTGTAGATAAGCCAGTGCAGTCTTCCTAGGGGTGCTTTTTATAGACTTTAGAGCCACTCACTTCGTGTGCATGCATGCCTACGTTGTGCTCTATTTATGGGTGGTCGCTGTAAGTCTCTGAAGAGAATTTGTTCACTGTAATTGCATAGCTTCAGTGTGTTTGGAGATCCTTCGTTAATTCGTGTAGAATTCTTTGCTATGTTAGCAGCTAAAGAGTGATTTCTGGTGCATTTCCAAAAGTAGTTACTATCAACATGATTGTAAACCCGAGACTGGGGTAGAAAAGAGAACACAACAGAAGGTAGAAAAAGAGGAGGCAACGTCTCAATTGAGATGTTGCCTCCTCTTTTTCTACCTTCTGTTGTGTTCTCTTTTCTACCCCAGTCTCGGGTTTACAATTATGTTCAACTTACACCAGCTCGCCTGCCCTCTGACTATTTTTTAGTTACTATCAAGCTGCCTAGCTTGTTCTTAAACCTTTTGATCAGCTTGTTTTTGTCAATGGAATAAGATTCTTAAGCAGAGACTCTTGCAGAAATGTTGCACAGTATTAAAAGCTGCGAAGGACAGTTAAAGCAAATTATTGTGTAGTCAAATGAACCAATATAGTGAATGTCTCAAATCATAGTGCCGACTTTTTTTGTATAAAGAATCTATTTTCTTCTCAACTGTCGATTTGTATATGCTCTGATATGAAGTTTCCAACTAACTCAGAAAGGGAATGATGAGCTTTCTCTAGAAGTGAGTCCACCAGCTTGAAGTGAACTAGGCATTGTGAGAATAGCTATGTTGAGAACTTTGTTTTTCCCTCACAGCTGTGCTTTGTACAGAGCGCGACACTGTTAGCGTGAACAAGCGATCGCCGGTTTTTCCAGTTTTTCTCTTTAAAACCAAGGGATGTCATCCAAGTTACTGCTACGGAAAGAGCTCATTTAGTTCTATAATGTAAGCGATAAAATTTCGTGCTCGCTAATACTATTTAGAAGTAAAATGCGCCATTGTCGTGTTCGCGCTAACAGTGTCGCGATGTGTACATGGGTAGCAGATAGCACAACTGTTAGAATGTTCCTCATATGTTGTTCATACTTATCCATTCTTTTGTACATTAAACAGTGCTTAGGTTGTGCTGACATTAACCCAAGTAATGACAAAGTTCAGGTACTGATTCATTAGTGGAGCATTTCTGAGGCAATATGTGGTTACTAATTTCGGTATAACTTTGTGCACTGTTCGAGTTAATAATTAAGGGGGTGGCATTGCATGCTCTTTTATCGGAATGCTCTTTTATCAACTTTTTTTCCGCTCCTTTTCTTCCTAATCACTTCCGTCTAGACGCCCTATTCTTAGTCCATGGCCGAAACAGGATCCGTAGTGGGTGAACTCTCTACTACGACCTCGGACACTGTTATCTTTATCTGAACTTTGTTTAAACTTTTGGGTTGGGTGCGGCTGGGCTTTGATGCTCCTGGAGCGTCGAGGGAAATGGTGGGGCGACCGAACCCGGGCTAGTTTTACTCGAAAGCAGCCTCTTGGGTTTCACTCCTCACTTTTCCTTTCTGCCAGTTTCCTGCGAGGTCAGTAATCTCTGCCCCCTCCCCCCCCCCCCCACCCCTGGGCTTGTCTTCTGCCAGTGCTGATACCCAATGTGAGAGGCTGTTTGAGGAGGGGAAACTGCTGAACCGCATCTTATCAAGGGCCTGCTTCAGTAGCATTGAGTCCCCCTCTCCCCTCCTTGGAAGGAGTTACACCCTCTCCCACTCCTAGAGTGCTCGCCCTCCAGCGTAATTTCAGTGAAGCTGATCAATCGGTGTCCGGCGCCTGCCCGTTGCTATTTTGGAAGGCGCGACGAGGGGACTCGGTGGGGTGACAGTCGTGTGGCTGGTGTGGTGTGGCGTTATCACCCTGCTCTGCCCTGATAAAGCCGCCTGGGCACTTCTGTACGGCTGCAGACGACGCCCGACACTTGTCTTGAGCTGACCGGAGGGGACTAGCGCGTGTGGCAGACTTTTCTTTCGTGGGACCGGGACTCACGGCTTCCGCAATGGTCTACCGTTCCAGCTTCTTCGGCATGTCTCATCTGGGGCTCGACATCGCCATGGGCCTGATCAAGGTCCTGGTGACTGCCTACGACATGGTGTCCATTCCGATCTACTCAATCTTCCAGAGGCCTTGGGACTACTGGAGAAGGAAGCATATGACCTTTGTGAGTTCCTTTTCTTCCCAGTGGTAGTTGTAGATGCACTGATCTGCTGTAAATTAAGATTCCTTCACCAGAGGACGTTTCTTGCTTGCTGCTTTTCTTGTCTTTTTACCTGTAATAACTTGTGCAAAGCATCTGGCTTTGTGTACCATATACAAAGCTCTCTAAGTCGACTAGTATTAACAGCTCATGCGCCTGTGCATGGAGCTGTAAAAGGTCGTTATTCAAATTCTGGACAAAGTCAAAACACTTACCAAATCGGCCCTCGTAGCTGATCAGTTCCTTTTTACGCTAAATTCCGGTAGTGTGCTAACCTGCTCCATTAGGTTTTGTTTTTCTCTACGTCACAGATGCTTTCACGGATTATAACCTTTCTCTTGTCTGTGCAGTAGAAAACGAGCCTGCAATCATTAAAACGCTTTCTGCTGGCTGACCTACGCGTAAATACTTTATCAGCATCCACCAGATTAGATAAGATGGTTGTAGACTTGCATACTGTCGCACTACGGTTTATCTTTACGTTAGGCATTGTTTTTACGCACCGGCCATGCTGCGCAATTTTTACTATGCGTTAGCATCTGCAAGGTCTTGGCAAGAATATTAGAAAGGAGCCGCAGAAGTGGCTTCAAAGTTTGCTTCGTGAAACACCACTACAGCAATCTACAGGTAGTGGACACTTAAAATTTAAACTTTGTTTCAACACCTTTTTTCTTTTTTTAAATAACCGAAGACAACCATTATACAATGGTTGTTGGGGATTTCGCTCGACCCGTGCTCTGCATAGACTATTTTGAGTGAGACTGGCGTAGCATCTCCAGTGCCCCAACGCCGTCAAAGCTATTGTGCTAGTGCTAGCGTGTGGCTTCGCTTGGCATCTTCTTAGCATGAGAGTGAACAAGACGCGAGAGGATGCCACACACTCTTGCAGAAGTGTGGGGCTAGAGCGCTGGAAGCTACGCTAGCCTCGACGACATGATAGAAAGAGCAGACGCTGAGTGTAGCGATGCGTTAGGGCCTTGCCGTAATTCCTTAAAGCCGCAGTCTCACTGCTTTTACATGGTACAAAAGACGCACGGTGTTCCCTGCAGACATGACAGAATTATTTGTGCAAAGCGTTTGCTTCACAGATGTGAAGTTTCCAATGTGTCTGCAGGCAGCTTTTGTATGACCAGTGCAACGGGGCAGACACAGGGAAGAAACGCTCCTCGGACGGCGTCTGTAGACTGCCTTTTGTGCGATGTACTGGCAGTGTTGATTTACGACTGGCAAAAGCATGCTGACACGGAGGTTCTTGTCAATCGGCAGGCCAAGGCGGCCATAGAGAAAGACCCATCTTCCCCCTGGGTCCGGGCGACGAAAGGGGGTGTGGACAGCCTGGATGGCATCCGCACGATGGACGAGCTGACGCGCAAGGCGATCCACACCTACCGGGACCAGCCCTGCTTTGGCACCCGGCAGATCCTCGGGGAGAGCGAGGAGAAGCAGGCCGACGGGAAGGTCTTCAAGAAGGTGAGCACACGGCTGTCTTCCCTCTCCTTCCGCTTTCTCTTGGTCTGTTTTGTCTTTCTGCTTTCTTTCTGGTTTCTGTCGCAGCACATTCCTTCCCGGTTTCTCTCCTGGTGTCTCTTTCTGGTTTCTCTCTTCTACTGGTGTCTATCCCTTTCTTTCTTTCTGTATTCTACCTTTCTGGTCCCTAACTCAGAGTCTGTCTCGTTCTGGTCCCTCTGTCTCGCTCTGGTCCCTCTGTCTCGTTCTGGTCCCTGCAGAGGTAGCAGTTTGGGTCAGTTGGTTCATGATCACCTAAAAAAGCACCAAAAAATAAAACACAAGGACAAGGAAGTAGACAGACAAGAGCGCTCTTGTCTGTTTACTTCCTCGTCCTTGTGTTTTTTAGGCGCTCATTGTGGCCTCTGTACCTCGTTCCGGTCTCTGTGCCTGGTTCTGGTTTCTCTATCTCTTTCTGTCTTGTTGTGGTCTCTTTCTAGTCTCTGTCTGGTCTTGCATTGCCCTGTATCTTTCCTCCTGTGTCTGTATATCCATCTCTTCTCTCTTTTTCCCTTTCTCTTTGTACCTTTATCTGTCTCTTTTCCCTCTGTCTTCCTCTCTTGCTCTTTCTCCCTCCACAAGGTAGCTAAAGTCCTTTTTTCCCCCATGGTTGTACAGCTGGTGCTAGGTGACTACCAGTGGCTGACATACAATGACGTGGACCGCAAGATCGACCTCATTGGCCGAGGCTTGATGGCCCATGGCGTGCGGCCGCGACAGAATGTTGTGATCCTGGCCGAGACACGGCTGGAGTGGATGCTGGCAGCCCAGGCCTGCCTGCGCATCAACATCCCAGGTGAGAAAGACAGCATCGCAACTCTCCTGCACTGGAGAGGACTGTTGATAGAGACATTTATATCTGTGCATTGGGAAGGCCATCTGTACTGTCTAAGCTCGTTATAACAGAGCTTGATTTTGTTCAAGATGTTGGTCTGTTGTAAAAGGAGTGTGTTGTATGCAGATATGAAGTTGAGTCAATGGCGCATAGGGGAAAACCAACCGAACTTCACAAATCGGTGTGTTATATCCAAATGTCTGTTGTAACCAGGTCTGTTATAATGAGCTTAGACTGTATATGGTGCTATTAAGACATATGTTGCAGTTGTGGATTTTGGGACAACAAGAGTGTTTCTATACCATTGGGATTGGTAGCATAAAAGATGCCATGTGCATGCCTGCAATGATATTAAGGGGGGACACAACCCAGAAGAAAGAAATTTCTGAAAAAAAAAGTAGATTTTGAACAGTTACATTCACAAACATCTACAGTATTCCCAGAAAGTTTCATTTGTGTACACTGCATGGTTACTTTTTCATCATTTATTTCCAGTCTAGCAATGCTAAAGAAAAGGTAGAAGTTTGAGCACTTTGAATATGTTTCTCTCCATTCGACTTTTTGGCCTAAATTTCACTTCAATAAAACTTGTTTCGGTATGAAACTATTGAGACCTAATATTTGCAGCTTATATGCCGGAATTCTGTGGAGCCGGTTACTATTAACTTAGATTTTCTATTTCATGTTTCTTTATTATGAAAAATTATAATTAACAAAACTTAATAAATGTAAAAAATTTTTTTTTTTTTTTTTTTCATAAATTTATTTTGATTTGAAGAATGCATATTCAGAATTTTCTTTTCATAGTAGCTGGAAACGGGTATTCCAGTATGCATTCCACCAGAAAAATGTGGTTATCAATACCATTTCTCAAGATAAATTCATAGAGCAGATTCCATGCAAAGTTATGCTTTACTTCGTTGTGGTGGTATAGTACTTTATAAAATTGGTTCGCAGGGCTGAAACTTTGCGAGCCCTCCTCCTATATGGCTACCAACAGTACCTGCAAATATCATGCCAATTGACTGAGCGGTTTAAAAGTTAACATTCCCAGATAGTGTCCCCTTTTAACTGCCTTCAGGTGCCGAGTGCAAAATGTCCAGCAATGTCCCTGATCCTACAAGTGTCCACTTGTCTTTCATAAATTATAGCATTGCCTAGTACACAACGCATGTATACCTAAATCTTGCTTGGACAAGTGGCCACCTGCAAGCTCCGTCTTATTTAGTATGCGAGAATTGGTGGAGATGTTGTCTCTATCAATTTTCTCATATACCAAAGAAGTCAAAACTTGGGGGCGTATCACAATTGTCATTTCATTTTTGGTAGGTTCTATACTATATCACAGTAGGTTTGCTTTTGTAATTTGCAAGCTTTCCTATACCAAATTTTCTAAAATACTGAAACTCTGTTTTGGGAATTTCTTTTTTTTCCAGTGGTGACCCTGTATGCAACGCTGGGTGAGGATGGCATCATCCATGGCATCAATGAGACCGAGGCCACACATCTGATTACGTCCTACGATCTCATGCCTAGGATTGCTGTGAGTCTAATCTCTGCCCTCTTGCGTCTGCCACATCTGAGGCTAAGCGCTCGGCAGTTTGATTGCTCCCGCACTACTGCAAATATTGAACGACTAGTAGATTGCAACTCTAGGCCAAGTATTAAGGGCATACGAATGTTCAAATTTCCAGTCGAATAATTGTTAGATTAATTCGATACATCAAATATTGTACCGCTGGCAAAAGGAAATCGGTTAGTCTCCTTCGTAATATTGCACTGTCTAGACTTTCATTAGGATTAATGTTCATACTGGCTCTCACTCTTACGTGGAGTTTGTTTTAGAATCTGGAGTGGGGAGTTGCCTAATGTAAAGCCTGTTGTGTACAGAAAATCCTGCACAAGATTCCGTCGCTGACGCACATCATCTACATGGAGAGCCCGCTGTCCAAGGCCCCCGTGGTGGCCCCTGAAGGGGTCAGGGTCCTCCCCTTTGCCCAGCTGGAGGAGAGCGGCAAGACTGCAGACGCCGGTGAGTGTTCTGGATTCTAGCGAGATTTTCACCGGAAAGGGTTTGCGACTTCCAAAGCAGTGGTACAGTGATGTCTATTAATAGGGACACCTCCCCTCCCCCCCTTCCCCTTCCCCAAAATCGTCTGTAATGGGTGTTGTCCACATTAATGAGATGGTAATGTATGTATGTACCCAGTTCATTCCCGAAAATATTGTATGTCTAGCAGGTATTCATATTAACAGGGTCTGTATTAATGAGACAGGACTGTATGGGGAACAACACACTCGCCTGAAGTGCTCCTTTTGGACATCACCTATTTTAAGTGTATACTCCGCGACAACTTTTCTTCGAAATGAAGTGGAAGGTACAGGCCCGCGTCCCCTCTCCCATTTTGAGTGTACGCAGGCTCTCCTCCTCCCCCTATTCTGGGGAGAGGAGAGCCCGCACACACTCAAAATGGGAGAGGGGACGCGGGCCCGTACCTTCCACTGCATTGCCAAGAAAAGTTGTCGCGGAGTGTAGTAAGAAATGTACTGAGCACTACTTCTTCGTTGGAGTCCAGGAAATCAAGGGTGCTCCATAAGTAGAATGCTAGGAAGTTTTTCTTTTCAACACAACACCCTTCAAATCTTAACGCTCTTCGCCGCGATCTAAAAGTTCTACGAGGTTTCACAAGATTGTTTCTCTTGATGGCGTTTATTGCATTCTCCCCTCAACCATCAACTAAACACTTTTTTTCTTTAACATATTTTTTTAATGATCAGTCATTGCTCTGCCAGTGCTTACCTATACTTGTTTTTTTTCCCATGGAAGAACTGAGGGGTGAGACGCCCACCACAGACGACATTGCCATCATCATGTACACCAGCGGGTCGACGGGCATCCCCAAAGGGGTGATGATCACCCACGGCAACGTAGTCACCACCGCACGGGGCTTCAGCGTGATCTGCAAGAACATCGGGTGAGCGGACATTGCAATCTTAGTCACCCCAGCACGCCTGACCCCCATAGTCGCCGACAGGATCAGAATGGTGGGCATGTCCTTCGGTTGTCCCACCCCCAGTGCGAGCTTTTTAATTTCAATGATGCTTCAGCATCTCGTGAATCTCGAACGTGCACGCATGACCAGGGTAGTATCACCGAAAGCAACAAGCACATGCTGAAGGCCGGACAGCGATGCTTTGTTATTCTCGTCCTGTCGGCGACTCTGGTGAAAAAAAAAATCGACGGCATCTAGTGGCTAAAACGGAAAGCTGTGGCGGCAGGATCGCTTGAAGTAGGTTTGGAAATGTGTAATGAAAATAGCCACTATTATGTATTACTGACTGCAGATTATAGTTCTCGGTTCACTTTTGGGAACTTTAAATCAGTTCTTGTGAATCGATCGCAGTATCTTGCTGTAGTAAATGTCGAAAACAGATGCCACGCGTGTGGCAACATATGGGATATGGAAAAGTGGTGCGACAACTAATGCAATACAAGATTTCAGTCTAATTGAACTCTCTGGTGTCCATTGGTGTTAAAAATAGCTGAAAAGAGAATTGCAGCTGATGCAAGTTCCTTCCATCAGCTGCAATTGTCTTTTTAGCCATTGACCGCTAACTCTCTCGGTGCAGTTGCGAGCCAGCACTCGTTTGTTCCCCAGTTGCTGTTACGTTGTGCCGATCATTAATCGTTGAGTTTGAAGTCGTTTGGTGCAGGCTTCCATCCGTCATTGTCACAAAAACAATCCCAATGGCATGACAGCAGACTCTTGGTAGCAGTACACAGTGGTAGCCAGTGAATGCCAGCTATGAGAGAGGAGATAATTTTAATTTGTCAAGTGGGAAGAAAGTTCAGAAAAGTTGGCCTGCAGTCAACACTTGTTATTCTGCCACTGCCATAATGTAGGCGCCTGTGCTCTGCACGTGGTCTGGTTCCATTCTAAGATTAAAGGGGAGCTCCGGCGAAATTTTGAGTCACTGATTTGCTTCAGAATTGGTTCAACACATTGACAGACAGATCTGAACTACCTAGTAAACCAAATTATACAAGTCGCAGTACTTTTTTTTTTCTGCCATATTACTGAAGTTTTTAATTTGGTCTGAGAGGCTTTGAGGTTCCAATGGCAACACCAGAAATGTGATGTCGGATGTCGTGATATGGGCCAATGGATGCGAAGTACAGCTTGTTCCCGACAATTTAAAAGTTCGATAGTAAGAAATAAATGCTGGTTAAGCTCATGCCAGCAAAACAGAAACACATGCACAAAATTGATTTTTTTTAGATTGCCTGCTGGACTTAAGTGCAATATATGTCGCATCACCCTGCCGCTGAGTGCGTGAAAATTTGAATGTTGGTTTTTTCGTCTCCTTCATTTGCCATTTTCTGAATGCTATTTTGAATTTAGAGATAATAAATAACATGCTGAAAAGAGTAAAACATTGGTATTTTGAAAATGGTTAGCTTGGGTAGCTCGAAACACCGCTGGAACTTCCCTTTAAGTACAGTGGTGTGAATATTTCCATTGTGCCTAGACAGAAACGTTGGCCAGTCTGGTTTGATGCAGTGGCAGTCGTTGTTTACATACATTGTTCACTGGCGTAGCGAGAGTTCTGCTGTCTGTATTTACTACATAGTGCTTTCTGTTTGTTCCTTCCTTGTGCAGCTCTGTGACGTAAGTGGCACAACGGTGCTATTCTCTCTTTGGCCTTCGTTGTATGTGCACGCCATTTGCAAGCGTCGCACCGTATGTAACTTCTTTGCTCCTGTAACGTTAATGAGTGTCATCTGCAAACTGGGTGAATGCTACCTCTGACAGCTTGGAATGGGTTGTGCCTGCACATGCACGAATGTGCTCACGTCTAGAGTTTCTCGGCATGTCACACTGCACGGACGCCGTTTTCCGTTTTGTGGACGTTGGAACGTCGAGTGACGGACGACTCATTTGCCTTGCAGAGAGGGCGACACTTACATCGCTTACCTTCCCTTGGCTCACGTCTTGGAATTGGCTGCCGGTAAGTGAACCTTGTCGCCTGTTATTCTGCTTAGGTAACAAGTTGCTTGCTGTCCATGGGAATTTTAAGATTGAAATGTTGCCTCGGCATTTGAGTTCCTGTGCCAGCTTGCTGATAATCTGTTGAGTCTGTATTGATGCTAATGAGATCTTCGTTGTTGTTTTCAGAGTGTCTCTCGTTTGCTCTTGGAGCCAAGATTGGTTATTCGTCGCCCCTGACGCTCACAGACAAGGTGGGCCTCGCACTCGGCACTGATCGCGATTTTTTGCATGTTGCGTATGACTGCTGATATTAGACTGCTACAATGACATCATTTTTAATTTGACTGACGTGCCTTTCCTTTTTTTTTTTTTCCAGTCAACTGGCGTCCAGCGAGGATGCCAAGGTGACGCAACCCTCCTGCAGCCCACAATTATGGTTTCAGTACCTGTAAGTTGACTCCTTCATTCGCTTTCATAACAAACGATAGAAGATAGACAGATTTAGCGCATAATTTGTTGGCTATAGTCTATTTAAAATCGCAGTGAAATTGTTTTTAGCATTCAAGACATGAATCTTTTGCCAGCAGTCGGAGGAAGTACCTACAATCACATATATTGTCATTCAGGCTATTATTTGAGTATCCATTGTAAGCAGCAAATAAAAACCTGTAAAAGCTTCTTTTTCTTTTTTTTTTTTGCATTTTTTCTGCACATTAGAATTTTTTGCTTCAGCAATGTTGTATCATCAATGGTTGATGTTTGAGGATAGCCAGTAGCTTCTTATATTTAAATTTATTACTAACTAGGATAAATAATTTTACGGCGGAGCTGTTAAGGGCTAGTTTCCCCAGGATCGTGTCCGTCGACAAACAAATGGTGACACAGAACTCTGGACAGCTACCACCATCTATGAGCGATGACGGCAATCTTTCGAGCCTTTCCACTCTGGCTTGCGGACTTGCAGCCGACCATTACTTCATTCCCACCATGGTACAGCTTCGCTGGTCTTCTTTCACCAGAGTGGAAAGGCTGAAAGTTTTTTTAGTATTGGGGCTTGTCAAGATTGTCACAAGTGTGCAGCACAAGCAGTGAGATCTTTGTTTAAAGTTGTAGGAACTAGTAACAGTTTGTGGTTGAAGCTGAAGGTCCTTGATCTATTTCCTCTTTCCTCGGCAGCTGATTTTGGACCGTATCCGCAAAAGCATCACGGAGGTGGCTGCAGCCAGGGGTCCCTTCTTCTCCCGCTTCTTCAGTTACGTCGTTGCCTACAAGTCCTTCTGGCAACGCATGGGCTTCAACACCCCAATCCTCAACAGGTGGGTCGACACTCGCCTGTTCAGTCTCCTCTTGAGATGCAAGGACTTCCTCAATACAGTAATACCTCGCTAACTCGAAGTCATAAAAACCGAGGAAAGATTCGAGATAAGCGAAATTTCGAAATAAGCAAAGTACCAAAATTTTTTTTACCTCTGATCGCGCGATGTTCTAAATAAAACTTCTAACAATCGCGGCAACATCAACTTCTCTGGTGAGAGCAACTTTCTTTTCAAGCTTCAATGATTTGCACTGTTTGGGCTGCGCCTTCTTCTGGTCAATCGAGCCACGCGCTAACAACGTCCGAGAATTCACAACCGATGATCCAATTGAACACTTGACCCTTGCTCGTAGCAAAACAACCAAAACACACACACACAAAAAAAATGGCGCACAAGCAACTAAGTGTAGCGACACTTGAAACGGACGAGACACCTCTGAGAAACACGAGACTGACGACCACCGACCTGGAAGGGAACGGAAGAACCCAGAAGCAAAGAGAAAACTAAAGACAGAGGAACAAAACGCTTGAGGGAAAGGGGGCACCGAACGCCAAGCATCTCGGCTTACGATTCGCTTGTCCAAATAGAAATCGTAAAAACAAAACAAAAAAAAATTGAGAAAAATAAGACAACAAACGTCTGGAGTCCCATCGCGCATCCTCTCCGCGCCTCCATAAACCGCACACGCGGTTATCTTTCTGCTTTGTTTTCTTGCGCTTGCGCATTCTTTTTTTTTTTCTTTTGTGCATGCGCATTTTTTTTTTTTTTTTTTTTTTTTTGCAGTTTTTGTTGTTTTTTGCGGTTTTTTTTGCGATTTTCGCTGATGAGAATTCGGGATATCCGAAGTCGGTCCTGAAAACCTTTCGAGATAAGCAAGGGCAAAATGCATTGTGTCTATGGGAGCTCATTCGATGGCAAGGAAATTTTACGACTTAACCATTATTTCGAGATAGCTGTGTTTGAGTTAATGAGGTATTACTGTAAACTATGCCTGGTCTTGCGAAATGACAACTGTATGTTGTCATTTTGCGAGACAGGCTACGGGTTTCGGTGATTGAGCAGTCACTACTCGATCGGTTCTCCCACTATTCAATTTTGAAGAATTGGTTTAAAATGTTCAAGGTGCAGCATTGGGGCATTACAATGCAGTGCTGTATTTGACATTGTTGGCCTCGGTACGAAGTTGGTGCTTGGTCGCTTTTTTACTTGCACACGTCTAATGTTCAGCATAGGGCTTCAGATATGTTTGTCTCACAACACTGTCAATTCTGGTGGGCATCAAAACTAGGCTGCACAACACAGTAGTTAGTTATCCCGAAACATGTTTGGGAGAATTGCGTAGCGTTAGGGTTAGCTGTGCCATGCGGTGCCATGTCCTCGTAAAATTTTTTAATGTTGGAGCAAGCGGCATAGGGTGGAGCTTCCGCTAATGGGCTTTCTGCTCGCTCTGCAGCCTAGTCTTCAACAAGATGCGTGCACTCCTGGGAGGTCGCCTGAGCGTGATTGCCACGGGCTCCGCTCCGCTCTCCGCGGACACTCACGAATTCATCCAAGCCTGCCTGGACTGCTACGTGGTTCAGGGCTACGGCCTCACCGAGACCGCTGCGGGAGCCACCATCATGGACCGTGAGTGCGCTACCGCTGCTCCTTTTGGCAACGCTTTTGAAGTAGCGATGATGACCCGGTGACTTGGCCTATAGGCATTTTTTGTCACTGTAATCATCTCTCAACCTGCTCAGGGTGCACATTGTAGAGCTAGAGCTGCTGCAACCTGCTGGACTGTGGCAGCTATGGCTCTATAACATCATGCTTGGTGCACTTTTCGTATTTTAGTCTAGAAGTTGCATTATTAAGTCTCACACCCCTAAGATCAGTGTTTTCACAAAAAGTTGGTGTGTAAGTCACACTTGTGTATTTGTACGGTCGGTGTGGCGAAATCACATTGGTAAGCCTGCAGATATTCATTACGATTGCGATATACTATGTGCAGTGGGAGCCAGTTTAAACCTTCTCGTCAACGAATCGAGAAAGAAATATAATCTTTGTGGAAAATTTACACAGTTAAGACGCATTCCTCTGACCGTTGTATATAATGCACCAACGAAATATTTTTGGAAAAATTGTGACTTGTACACCGGAAAAGGGTGTATTGCATGGAGCGCAGTCTTTGCAACTTTGGATTTGCATGTTCTTGATGTTAGCATCTTTCTCGATTCAGTGGAGGACGTGAGCTTTGGCCGCGTGGGGGCGCCCATCGTGAGCTGCTACATCAAGCTGGTGGACTGGGATGAAGGTGAGCCAGATTCTGTGTTGAAACCTCGCTCGCCTCTTGTATTTAAAAACCGACCGTCTGAGCTGTCCATTCGTATGTCTAAAAGTTGAAATATGGACGTTCAACTGCAAAGTCTAGCATTTGGCTTACTATACTGTCAACTTCTTTGTGTCTCGCTGTCAAGGCTAGCCTAGTTTCCACAGTTCTCCAACATTGTCCAAGCCACTTGTGCAAGCATGTGGCTTCAAATGGCGTCTCCTTCGCACGAGAGCATGCGTAAACAGACTCGAGACAAAGCTACTTACTCTAGCAAGAGTGCAGAGCCGCAGCACTTTGCAAATTTCGCTAGCCTCAGCAACATAGTACAGGTGTCATCATAGATCGTCGGCACAATTAGGATGAAGTTGCCTCCGTGTAGTCGTCGACACTAAAATGAAGTAGGCTGCAAACCAGGAGTGTCTAAGCAAGCGGAGGAGGTTGTCTCTCTTCGAGACTAATTTCAATGAACCCTAAAGTTTTGAGACGGCAACACGCCTTCTCTCATGAAAGCATTCGTTGACAGTTTAGTTTTTGCCTTTTGGTTAATTAATACAAGTGTGCCTTGCGCGTGCAGCCCACTACCACGTGACGGACAAGCCCAACCCGAGAGGAGAGATCCTGGTCGGTGGACCGTGCGTCACAAAGGGCTACTACAAGAACGAGGCCCTGACAAACGAGTGCTACCGGGAGGAGGGAGGCATTCGCTGGTTCTACACCGGCGACATCGGCGAGATGTTCCCAGACGGCACGGTCAAGATAATCGGTGCGTCCCCTTTCTTCGAAAATGGCCGGATTCGCAGCGTGGAGCCTGACCTTTCAGCACGGAACCCGTTATACGGCTGGCTCTTGGGCACTTAGTGTAACGCACTCCCGTTGTAATGCGCGAGTGCTGCGTTGGCTTTTGCCTAGAACTTGCGCCCTCACCGAATGAATGAGAGCCCCGGCAAAACAACGAAGGCAGCACTGGTGCCCAAATCGTGCTTCGTGCTGGCCTGAAGTATGAGACATAAAATATCTAGCGCTTTGGCCTTGTCATGTCTCGAGCAAGCAAGCTCCAAGCAAGCACGACTCGAAATAGCAAGGTCAAAGCTGGAGTGTGCAACTGAACGAGATGCAAACTTCACATTTTACTGTCCTTCCCTTCAGAAATGCTTCGCACGACGTTCGCACCGTGGCACAATTTGCATGCCAAGTTTACCGTAATTTCCTGGGAGATGCCCCGCTCCTGAAAAAAGGACCCACCTCTTATTATCGGCACCGTTTTCTACTTTTTCACAAACACCGGAAGGTGGCCCAGAAGGGGTGTTGCCCTACTTACTAGGTACCTACGGCACGGAGAGATAAGCGAGCACTGCAGACTTGGAAAGATGGTCGTCTTTGCTTTGTTCCCAACTGCAATCGCAAATTTCACGGGCCACGAAATTAAGAACTACCATGTCTTCGCAAAGCAGCGCATGACATTCCTTGTTACCACCGCCTTTGCCACGATATTATGGGAAGTGGAAAATTTTTTTCTCACTTCCGTCTGGGGCTTGGTTTACGAACCAGTAGCTTCGCCCGGATAGTTTGGCGCGCCTGGCGGTACTCGCAGTGTCTTTGATCCTTCTGTGTCATTACAGATCGCAAGAAGGACCTTGTGAAGCTCCAGTTTGGCGAGTACATCTCCCTGGGCAAGGTGGAGACCGAGCTGAAGACTTGCCCGTTGATCGACAACCTGTGCGTCTACGGCAGCTCGTTCCACAACTACCTCATCGCCTTGGTGGCACCCAATCAGAAGCAGCTTAAACTGCTGGCCACTCAGCTGGGCAAGGAGTCGCTCAGCTTCAGCCAGCTCTGCGAGGACTCCGAAGTCATCAAGGCCACCTCGGACGCCATCGTCTCGCACGCGCGCAAAGGTATAGTACTTAGTGCCGTTTTGTCGCATGCATCTCGTCACGGTTGGAGATTGGGCAGTGGCAGAAATGTTGCGGGCATTCGTGAGGAAAGGGAACGGTGTTTTTGGGACCACATAAATAATTTATACATCATGGGGAGCTCAAACTTTGCGAGAATGTGACTTTAGCGGTTGGGACAGAACTAAAAAATTTTAGAACTCAATGTCACTTGGAGCGAAAGATGATTGAGAATGGCCAGATATCTTCGAGCAGACGTCCCATGTTACTTCTTCGAGAATCGCTTCATCAAATGAATGCTACGAGTGTATTAAAACAAACTGAATTGATGAATGTTATATCTTGCCGAAGTCCACACAATTCTTTGTACCGTGCCGGGCAACAAAAATGGGCTACATCCCCTCTGTCCCCTCATCTGCCGGACACCAGAGCAGCCTGTAAGAAATGTAGACATTGCAACAACTCTCTTAATCGCTCCGAAGTTTCTCAAATTCGGCGTCTCAGTGCCAGTATTCCAGTTGTGGCGGGTGCCGAGCAGTGTGCTATAAACCCCTTTGCTCCCGTCGACCTTGCAGCCAACCTCCAGAAGGTGGAGATTCCCCTGAAAGTGAAGCTCTGCTCCGAAGACTGGCAGCCAGACACCGGCCTGGTGACGGCGGCCTACAAGATCCGCAGGAAGAACATCCAACAGTTCTACCAACAGTACATAGATGAAATGTACACCGCCGCCTCGCAGAGGTCCAAGTCGACATGAAGTCCGCACCAGAGGCCCCCGTCTGTGGCGACTCTCAAAAGGAACGCACTCGTTTTGTGTAGCGGACGCACGGGCCCACATCAAGTGTACATAAGTGTGTAGATCCCACGACTCCCTCAGCTGCAGCAAGCAAAGAGACTGTGATAACGCTGGTTGACGCGCAAATGACGACGAGAAAGAACTCCCGGTCGAGACTCTTGGACTTTCGTCGAGCGCCGTGGAACTGTTACTATTTTTGAAGCGCACATTTCTTTTCTCTGTCCACCTCCTCTCGTGCACATTGTTTTTGGATTCGAGTTTTTTTTTCTTTCTTAGTTTGTCTTATCTAATAAAGCGAGGTGTTTTTGTCTTCTCGGTATGTTGTAGGAAATGGTCGGTAGTTGGGTGTAGTGTGTGTAGCGCTGTTTTCATTTTCTGGGGTGCTGGTTTTTTGCTGCACCTCTTGTACATAGTTGAATGGATTCCCATACTTGTATTTATGGCAGTGTTGTAGAGTTTTGGGGACCACATTGTGTTCTAGGGCTTACCTACCGGTGAAGGCACCTCATCAAAAAAGAAAAAAAACCTATTTGTGCCTTTGTTCTATCCCAGGAAAAATGGTTTGGGGGGAGGGGAAATGAATTTAGTCAGGTGTTAAACTTGCACTTTTTTTTATTGCAGTTTCGAAAGGTGTACATTTTTTGTGGGATACTTTGAAGACAGCAGAGAACCAGGTTTTCTCGTTCAAAATGGGGGGAAATAGCCAGATTCTAGCTACGATACATATATTTTTGGGATACATGTTTGTACCTGGCTTTTGATTACTTGCTGTTTCACAAATTAAGATATGTAACTAGCGAACCATTCCACTTTTGATCCCTGGCCACTACACACCAAGCTCGTTACAATAAACTGTTCCCAGAAGTTAAACATGGTTCGTGTTTGTGTGCATTGATGCTGTCCAAAGTGTGAAGGCTATCTTGTGCAGCATGGAGCCACTAAATGGGCTACGTTTCAGAGTAATGGCCCCACGGCCACCCTGGTACTAAAATCGCTGCCAGTTATCTGATAATAGCAGGAGGTGGTCTTCCACCCTCTAGAAAAGCAAACCACCCTCTAGAAAAGCAAAAACGGTCCACAACGAAGCAAACCGATATGACCAGAGCTTTTTGTCCTATATGTCCAAACCCTAGGAATGGTGGTGCCCACAAGAAAATTGAGGGGGAATTGGGTGCTGCTACCCCAAGCGTAGCTCAGATAGTGGCTCTGACACAGGACTAGAGAACTCCCAAAATTTAATTGAGCTTGGGGTCTTACTTTTGGGCTTTGATTGCTCTTGCTGCAGTCCAGACACCTTTAAGCCAGTGTTTTCTCAAGGCTCTTTGGGTCAGCAAACATTAGCTAAGTGCTGGAATGGTAGGACCTCTATCACATGCAGTTTTTTTAAGTTGCATCTTGCTTGTGGCATACATTTCAGGGAAATCCACACATGGGCATGGTTGGCACAGTTTTGATGGCTATTACTGCATACACGCAAAGATAATGAATTGGCTCTTGTACAAATTGGTGCTTGGGAAACGACAATGTAGCCGACAAATATATGCATTACCTGTATAACTCTCTTGTATTTGGTAGAGAACACTGAAGTTTTGCCCCCAAAAATACATCAACTGCAATTTGATTGTGCGCAAAAATTATGTTGGATAGAAAACAAATTTCACTGGCACAAATAATATCAAAGATTAAAGCTGTTTGCTTGGTGACAGAGAGCCAAAAGGTATGTATCACTTTTAATAAATCCCTATAATACGGCAGCACACGCCAGTCCACTATCCACAAAACTCTAACTCAGCTAGCCAAACCAGGGGTTTCACCGCACACAGAAGCAGGTATGTCCTGAGGGGGTGGGGTCAGAATATCCAGATTCCCCCCCCCCCTCTGAATCTGCCACTGGGTTTGACCCAAGCTCAAACAAATGTGAACTGGCTGTAGTTTGGTGAGCGCTGGTCACAACTGATTGTGTGCCAGCATTCAAGTTTAGGTTTTCGGGTCCGACATGATCCGGGAAAAGAATCGCCCAGCACGGGAAAACAACCGCCCAGCACCTACATCCAATCAAAAAAACTGCATCGATACACTTATGGTCCAGAGATGCCAATAATTTATTGAACTTCAGGAGGAGCGTATGTGCTGCGCGCAATTCTAAAATTTCGGAAGGTTATCCAGGCCTGTTCACTGGGCAACATGCCTTCTACCGTGATGCAAATGTATACTCTGCTTCACTTTAGGTGTGACTGCGGCCGATGCTACGATAGAATGGAGCCAATTGGGCGGCATCAACATTGTGTCGTCGCAGCACTCGCTGTCTTTGTGGCTTTGCTATGCTGGCTGAACCAATCGCCCACAGAAGGAAGTGCAGCATTCAATATGGATGATCGGTTTGGTTGACGATGGCAAAGAGACGAAGGCAATGAGCGCCACGACGATGCGATCTCGGTGCTGCTGTTTGGCTGGCCCCATCAGATTGCACAGTCGGCCATGGTTGGACAAAATAAAACGGAGTATGGCAGCCCCCCTACGCTTGTAGCATCCTTTAGAAACAAGTTGTGCCAACTTCAGCTGTAATAGCCTTGTCCCACTAGAGCGACAAACACGGATTTTCGTCTGGCGACACCACAAAGTTTCGTGTCGCCGATGCTGTCCCACTGTAACGACCAACACTCCTGACAAATGATTGACGACGGACAAGTTCTCGTTTGTCCTTGGACTTGAAGCGCCGCAAGCAGTCCCACCAAGGAACATCTCTCACAGACAAACTTATCCTCCTTGCCCGCCCTTCTACCCTTCCTCCCATGGCTCGCTCCACCGCTCGACCTTCGGAGAGGACCTTGGCGGCTGCTGGTCGTTCCCGCAGTTACCATCCCTCAATTGCTCGTATGCTGGCGGTCATGTTGCGGAAGGGGATTTGCTGTGGCTGGTTTTGCTCGCGAAAACCTGGCGGTCGAGGTGCTGCTTTGAGACGCTGAGGGCAACACCCCTGCGTCGGGATGGATACACAGACGTTCGAGGACTGAGCAAAGTAAGACCGCTCACCACGAAGTAGGACACAACGTTCCGGCAAGCCATTCTGGCAGACGAGAGACTTGTCATCATGCTTTGTGATAATCGGGATGCCGTATGTTCCCTAAGAAACGCCTGCCCTCAATCATTTAGATATAAAGTCATAAACATCTTTAAAATTGGAGTGAAATTCCATGGTGCTCACTTAGAATGCCTCAATCGACCCAAAAAAGGAATGATTCTGAATTCTAGTTCGGAAAAAGTTTAGTGTCGATTGTCCCGACTGTTTGCGACAATTCGCTAACAGCAAAAGAAGAGTAGCGGAAGCTTTTATCAAGAAATAAAGTACTAATTGTCTTCACTTTTATCGTGCTTGTCGGCGCATTTTACACTTTAAGAGCAAAACACGAAAACCGCATTGCCAGACTCTGATTGTTTGTGTATTTTGAAGTGTTTTGTTGAAAACGCCAGCCCCACAAGGAAGCAAGTTTCCTTGTTTTCGTGTTCTGCGTCGTGTCCGCCAGGAGGGACAACAGTCTCTGGCAAACAGGCTGTCTGTAGGTTTCCTTTGTCGCTAGTTGCTCTGCGTCCCGGTCCTTCGTTGCTGTTTGTCACTCCAGTGGGACGCGGCTATAAGCATGTTCAAACACACAACAGCAAACACTAACAATGTTTTGTGCTGCTGCTATTGCTCGCAAGAATGGGCTTGAGTATTATATCACGATTAGGCAACATTTGGAAGCATGACAACTAACTGCACGACATCTGCGTAACACTATCGTTACCGACATTAACAGGCAAGGGGCCATTTCATACTGTATTAAGCTTCCTAAATTGTTAACTATACAACAGCTTACGCCTACAGGAAGGTTTTGCCAATATTTCGCAGGGTATACGGTCACAATTGGTCCTGGCGGTTTCAATATCCGGTTACTTGATTACCCATCTGCCCTGTGTATCTAAAAGAAAACAATTCTCGTATGGTGCTTGGTTGATTTGGTCAGCACTCGGCTGACTGAGCTAAACCAGGGTTCCAGCAAGCACACACCAAATACCACGGAACATACACCAAAAACACGTACAGCATTCGCAACAGTTAACACACTGCAGGAGGACGCAACTGCTCGAGCACCTGTTCTGCTTTCATAGAAGAGTGGAAAGACAACAGCTGGAAAGCGGACCTGCCATGTTTATCCGAAAGACGGACCCCCCACCGCCGCCAGCGCCGGTCGAGCCACCCATCAGTCATCAGTTGGGCGAGTCCAGAGAGTTGCCGATGTCCGCAATGAACATGAACAGCCGCTCCGTGATGTCCGGCTTGCCCCAGATGTTCTTCCAGCCCGCAGTCCTCTGCACCGCGACCAGGTGATCCGCAATGAACCTGGCAACGCTCTTGCACAGGTCGACGTCGCTGTACATGTTCGACAGCACGAACGCGTCCGCCGCACGCTCCACCGTCAGGTTGGACCCCAGGTAGTCGCCGCAGAGGGTCTTCAGCTCGCCCATCGAGTACTTGTCCGCGGCCACGTACAGGTCTTCGGCGACCTTGTCCAGGTTGGGGACTTCTCCCGTGTAGATGAAGAGAAGCATCTCGCGCATCGCGTCGAATGACTGGTCCGGAAGGTGGATGACCTGCTCCTGGGACTCCTTGGTCGGGTGTGAGAACATGGCGCCGAAGACCGGAGACGACAGCATCAGGACGTCGCGGTGAGCGTACAGGTTCCGTCGCTGCACGGTCAGCTGGACGTTCCCAAATGACTTGTCTTCCAGCAGCGTCCCGAGATTCTTGAGAAGTGGACTCACGGGGATGTCCGTCCGCTTGACCGGGGTGTTAGTGCTTTCCGAGAGGAACTCTACCTCAAAGAGGATGCTTAGGGTATCACCATTCATGCAGAGGTTCTCTGGGCTATAGAGGAAGAACTTGCCAATCTCGATGCCCAGGTAGTTTGTGTTCCCACGGTAGAGGGTGTGGAAGCCGTTGTGGAAGTAGCGCTGCACGGGCTTGCCCTTTTCTCCCAGCAGGCTGAGGGTGCAGACATAGTTGCGGCCCTGCATACCTTGCACAGGCACCACGCAGATGGATGCATAGTCCTTGCTCAGGTCTAGCCGCAGCTTCAGCTTCACCTGCGGGAATGGCAAACAGGTGTTACTCAGTATTCAACAAAGTACAAAGAAGCCAGTCACTCGTGTAGCTTACAGCTTGTCACATTATCCCACCCACCAGGCTGTAAGCAACACTGTTGCTATCTACCATGGAATATAGGCTGGGGACGCAAGCTGCCCCCTAATTTAAAGGGTATACAGCCAATACCATCCAACCATTCATCCAGCACTGCTCACGGTTAAGTTACATTATCCCCACCTACCTTGCTATCCATACCCAGTCAGACTACAATCAATAAGCGTGATGAGGACACCAACCGAGCTTCAAGATGCTTCTGTTTCCAGACCTGTGCATCCATCCATCCACCTGCCAAGATGGCAATTCTCTGGACAAGCGGACGGTGGACAACCACTTACGAACGACATAGTGAAGATCTGACTACTACATGAAATCAACAAAAAAGGCCATTGTTTCCAATAAGGAAAAGAACAAATCGCGCTCTGGGGGTGTTCAGCATACCTGCGAGGGGTCTTTGGGAAACTCCTCGCTGAAGCAGGTGCCACTTTGGAAGAACTGGCACTTGCTGAAGTTCTCAATGGTCCAATGGTGCGAGATGCATTCCGTGTTGATGCGACTCGTAGACGACGTTCGGCAGCTCAGAGAGGTCTTGGGCGTAGCCACAACCAGCTCCTGGAGCGGCGTTTGGGCTGCAAGATGCGCAAGTCATGCTCAGTACATGGTACCATTTGTCCTCATAGGGACCAAACCTCGTTTCTTATTGACTGTTGAGAAAAGCTACTATAATGAGAAAGTAGAAGAGGAGAATCTAGCACTCCTTTATAAGTTAAAAGTGCCACATTCTAAACTTCTCACCTTATAAATGAGCGCTACAGATTGGTTGTTTCGGTTAGGGGTTTACCCAGGACTGTCAATCGGGGGGGAGGGGAGGGGGAAGTGCATACCACAGGTTTGTGTACTTTGTGCAGGAAATTATTGTTTCTGGGGGGAGGGGGTGTTGCAAGCAATGGTAATAAGGTCTCACACTTCAAGCACAATCTCGTACCTGTTTGCTTTTAGGAGTGTTCTGATAGGCTCAAGAAAAGCTTGTTCATAACTGAGCAATCCTACAAACAAGACATAGTCTGGATATCCGTGCATTGTAGGTAACAAATTTCTGAGATAATATAGTAAGGGTGCAGGCAAGCTGGTGAATGTTAACCATGTTGAATAACCTGAGACTGGGGCAGAAGTGAACAAATAAGTTGAAGGAACAGAAAAGGGCAGGACGACGTCTCAAACTCACCTACCAGGTTTATTTAGTCCACCTCCTTATATAGCCCACCACCAACACAAAAGGGGCAACATCTATCCAGTTCAAACGCCAAACTCTCCAATCAGTCACAACCTACACAAAGGGACAACCTCTAAACAGTCTAAACGCCAAAGCCTCCAATAGACAAAGTAGTACTATGGATATGGCCTTCATGCCGATTCACAAAGATAACTCTACAATCTCCCCAAAATTTAACAAAAGAATCAATACCTACTTCATCCCCCGCAAAAAATGTTTTCTTTACAAAAAAAAAAAAAAAATTATGCCAGCGATGAAGGGATGACACACACTGAATCTAAAACGGGGAAAAGGTGTACAGTACACAATTTTAAAAAAAAGAAAAAAATTATATTTTTACAATCTTTTGGAATTTTTACTGAACTGTAACGAAGCCTGACTTATGCAATTACCTAGAGATCTTATCCGCACCATCTCCCTTACTAGTCTTTTTGCATCATTCCTCTCGTTGTAAATGATTTTGTCTCCGACCAAATCGCAGCGCAGTCGTTACATTCGTGGACATGTTTTGCGATTTCTGAGTCCGGTGCATTGTTCTTCATGTTTCTTTTGTGTTCACTTAATCTATCCTTGATGCATCGTGATGTCTGTCCTACATACTTAAACCCGCAATCCAGTGGTATCTCATACAAAACACCATTCTTGCAATTTACCATTTTTCTCGATGGTTCTTTTTGCAGTTATTTGCACCTGTTTCAAGTGGCGTCAATCTACTGAGTTTAAAATCCGAGCTAAAGACTGTGTCTACTCCAAACCTTTTCGTGCATGCCTTCAAGTTGTGCAAAATTTCATGACAATAAGGGATCACAACAAATCTAATCCTACATGTAGTGCACATTCTGCGGCGTCCACGCGGAATGAATCGCTGCACGTCACAATATTCACGCGAAGTTTTGAGGTGTAACGAGCCTCGGTAATTTCGCTGAGGCTGCTCAGACGAGGAATCAACAATTCAAATGCGAAAAAGGGCAGGGGGAGTCACACTGACGCCAACAACATCGCCTTCCAGTGGTTTGTTTATGGGCAACGGCGAGCTTCTTGCCCACACTCCATTGCACATACGCGGCGCCGTTGGCGTCTGCTAGGGGTGTTTTGGTTCTAAATAAGCCTGGTAAAAAGGTGACATATTGAGCCTCCGGCTCAGCAACACTTCCTTTGATTTCCTTGCTTTCAAAACTCTGACTGACTGAAACCTGGTAAATGAGTTTGAGACGTCGTCCTGTCCTTTTCTGTTCCTTCCCTTCGACTTATTTGTTCACTTTTGCCCCAGTCTCAGGTTATTCAACATGGTTAACAAATTTCTGCATGCAACACTGGAGCCAAAAGTACCCAGAGCTGGGAGATTGCTGAAAATAAACTTCAAAGGTCAAAAATAAAAAAATAAAAAATAAAAGAATCAGTTGTAACAACGTAAACGTCATTCTAGAGCACTGTCAACGCAAGATATTCGTTACGAACGAAGTTCTGTGTTAGGAAGCGCGGGGCTTTGACAATTAGCATATCAAAAGCGAGAAGAAAAAAATGTAGAGTGATGGCAAACAGAGTGAGTTACGTTACAACTTATTAGCGATGACCCTGAGAAATGAGGTCTCCGAATTCAGGAACTAAGGTAACAAAACAACACTTAAAACAATTAGAGCAACCCGAGGGGATAAACAAAAATAATGGACAGCACTGAGTTCCTCATCGCACTGGCTCAGGTCCAAGACACTATAAATGTATTTATTAATTTATTTGAATAACCCCACAGCGCCCGTGAGGGCAACTAAAAATGATATTGACGCCAAGAAATACTTAAACCTGCTTGTGCCTTCTCAGCTTTTTGTAACAAAACCAGGAGAGTGTAGAAGACGAAACTGCGTCACTGAAAGTCGTCTATTCGTCAAACTGAACTAAAACGTTCCAGAGGATCGCTGATGGACGAACAAGCGTTTCGAGCGATCCGGATCAATTGGAATCATGCGCGTTCTGCCGGTGGAGTGTGCCTTCATAATCGCCGTAACTGACCTGTGTTCATTGGTCCTGATGTGGTGGACACAGCACCAAACGACAAGACAAGCAGTAGTGAACAGAAACACACGAAACAGACCCAAACCACCCAAACCACAAACTGACGTTTGGAGAATTTTGCACACGGGACAAAAAGTAGAGTCGCTGCAAGATTACGCAAGGATGGATGAATGGATGGATGAATACGGCTGAGCCCTTTGGATCGGGCGGTAGCTTACGCCACCTAGCCATTTTGTTTTATTTAACATACACCCTTGCGAGGGCACTGTGGAAGAGTGTCGCAGTACCGGCGGTCACCTATGCTAACTAGAGTGCCTTCATGTGCGCTTCAAAGCGCACATGAAGGCTCCCTAATGCTAACGACGCAGTGGTCTTCCTACAGACCACCCTGAAGACACTGGATCGCCATCAATGGGAAATCGGGAGGTGGGCACTGGGCGGAAACGGGGCAACTGCAAACCGTCACGGGAGAGATATGGCCTCGACATTCAAGCAACGGGATGCAAGGGCCAAGCTCGGATACCTCGGGCGCCTGATCCACATGCCAGACGAAGCGTACGCCAAAAGGACATTCCACTACGTTAGATACCGCAGCAGCAGGACGAACTGGTCAAACACCATCGCCAGGCTCGACTCTGTGTACAGCAAAGGGACAGGCGACATGAGGCCACATCGGAGAAAGGATGGCTCAAGGCTGTGACAGAGGAGGTGAACGCGATTGAACTTGAGGCCTGGAGACAAGCGGTGAGGAAAAAGCAGAGCCTCCAGAGCATCTACGCGCTCCATAAGTCTGAGCCGTCTCCCTGCACACACTACCGAGGGGACCATGAAAGCGCGCTACTGTTTCAGGCACGGGTAGGAGCGCTGATGACAAACTGCCGACGTGCCCAACTCTTCGGAGACACCGACACAGCCTGTCATCTGTGCGGGCAGTCAAGCGAGGACGTCCTCCACGTGCTGCTGTGGTGCCCTGCCCTAGACACCACTGTCGACCGCCCTGGGCGACCAGCGAAGAGAGGATTCCCGAAATGCTGGGATTCGGGGAAGGAGCCCACGGTTCGCTAGCAACCAAGTGCATTCTCGTTGAATGGGAGAGACTGCGTCTGATCAGCCAACCAGTGAAAGTGTCCCAAAAGTGGGAAAAGTTAAAACAAAACAAGAACTAAAACTTTTACCTGTGTCGGCAATTTGAACTTTTGCTGACCCCCCTGTCTCAAAAGGGGTTAGGTACCGCCAACTAACTAACTTTAAGAACCTTAGAATATTTTAATGTGAAATCTCTATTCACTCCGCAGTACAAGAAAGTGAGGCGATGAAACCCCCTTGCCATCAGTGAATAAGAAAATACCTAGTTTTCTCTCGATTTCTGTCACCATTCACTTAATCTTTGCTTGGTAATCTCTACAGTCTTGAAATCCACCCTCCCTTCGCTGTCTCTAAAACCCAATGACTTTATTAAATCTATGTTGTCTTCGGAAGCCCTTTACAGTTGAGCATCAAGTGCTCAGCCGTCTCGTCCTCCTCTCCACAAGCAGTGCACGCTGTATCCATTTCCTAATACATCACTCTGCATGTTCTGGTTCGCAAAACACCCGTCCTCGCCTCAAAAAACAATGAGCTTCCCCTAGAATTGTCATAAATGCTTTCTTTGGCAATAACTGTTTTGTTTAATCTATAGCTTTCCAGAGCCGTCTTTGTCTGCATTCCCTCTAGCCACCGATCTCTTTCTGTGGTCTTAACTTTCTTCTTAACTGAGACTTGCTTTCCGTATCTTCGCTATAGCCCAAAAACTGTCTCCACTTTGTGTCTCCACTCCTCATGTATAAATAGCTGAAAGCCTTTAGTGCCCATTGCTCTCCATCCATTTGCCTCAACCTATCCTCAAATTCTATCTTGCTCACCGCTTCCCTGCTTTCAAATGACGCCCATCCCATGTCTCCTTGTACTCCCTGGTTTGGTGTTTTGCAATGTGCCCCCAAAGCCAGTCTACCTACTCCGCGCTGTTTTATTTCTAGTCTCGCATGCACTTCGGATTTCATGCATAGCACTGCGTTTCCAAAAGTCAAGCCAGGCACCATGACCCCCTTTCCAAATCTCTCTCACCACCTCATACCTGTTGTAATTCCAAAGTGCTCTATTTTTCATTACAGCTGCATTTCTGTTGCCCTTACCTATTATATACTTTTTATGCTCACTGAGATATTCTGCACCATACTCCTAGATACTTGTATTTACTAGCTCCCTTCAGCCTCTCAACTTCATCCTCGTTAAAAATCATGACTGCTGATTTTTCGCTACTGAATTCTAAACCTAATTTCTCTCCTTCCCTACCACAGATGCTCATTAATTCCTGCAACTCTACCTGTTGTTAGACATTAGTACGATATCATCCGCATACATCAATCCCGGTAATTGCTGAATTTTTTGGCCTAGCTAGTAGGGAGCCTACATACTCGCCGACTCCGTCTTTTAGGGTGGTGACAACTCCAACCATTGTTGCCAAGCGCCCGCTCAGACGGCCGCCAAACCTGACGAGCCGCCATCTTGGTCCCCAGCTTTTGCGCGGAAAACGGTGCAGGGGTAGCAATTTGCACAGATTTCGTTGGTACAGTGACTTTTTACGTCATTTAGCAGCAGAAAAACTGTTTTGTGGTGATGGATGGTGGTACTTAGCTTAAAAGGCGAGTTTTTTGGGCTCATTCATACGATGAATAAATTAATGTTTTCACCCAAAAATGTCGTATGCAACTAAAATTGCTCATAAAAAAGGCAGCAACTCTCCTAAAATAACCTTTATGTCCACATTTTCCCATTACGGTTTACAGTTGCAAATTGGAGTAAAAAATGAAAACGCATTTTTCTTAGTTTTTTTTTTATTAGACTTGAAATTTTAATAAAAAGATTTGACTAATATGACATATTTGGAGGAAAGTTGCCAATGAATTCTTCAAGTCCCTGAATTTTGCGACCTGTTCTGGTGAAGAGCTAATTGACTAGGACAAAAACGTTAAAGGGGCTTTTCAGTCACGATCATTCCCAGTGTTGTAGCAAAGGTGGGGGGGTCAAGGGGGACGGTTATTGGGGGAGGGGGGGGTGCCACCTTTGCAAGCGCGTAGCCAAGGGGGGTGTTCAGGTGCCAGAACCCCCCCCCCCCCCCCCCCCCAATTTTATTTCGTTATATATATATATATATATTTATATTGTTTGTGGGATTTGACCAGCTCCTGAATCGATTTAAGGCAAATCATCCCAGTTTGTGTCTGGTTTGTGTTTAGTTTGTGTTTAATTTGTGTTTTGTTTGTGTTTAATTTATGTCAAAACCGTTTCTGTGAAAATATTTTCACCTTGAATTTTATTACGACTTCCACACTGCTGCTGCGACTGCTGTAGCGCCGAAAAGGGGAATGGAGCCTCGTCAGGTAGCTTCGGCAACCTTTTGCTCCTCCCTCCCCGGCATTTCATATGTCAAATAAACTTCAATTCAATTCAATTCAATTCAAGGACAAAAGACATAAGGGCCCCGGGCGCCGGATGGCGTAGCTACACCACTGATCATTCCTCTAGCATGAGATTCCCGACCTTCGATAACTCTTCGCATCTCGTGAAGTTTGAGCGTGAACACGTGCAGCCAGAACAGGACAGAAGGCAATGAGCACGTGCTGGATGCTGGTCATCAGAAAAGATGACTAGGGGCCGGTTCTTGTCCTGTCATTGACCTTGCCATTATCATTTTGCTCAGCAGTAGGAAAAAGATTCCCTTTGTGCCGGTGAACGAGTCAGTATGAGAGGGAACTAAGATAGCTAGAAAAGCTGATAAACATTCGCAAATCTGGCTTCATGAAATCTAGAACTAGCCAAAGAATGTGTCACGTTAAAAAAGACAATGTCCACAGCATGACATTGTTAGCGTAAAGAAGCAATACCCGGTTTTCACTGTTCAACTTTTACAAGAAAATGATATCACCAAAGCTACTTATTTAGTGGAAAGGGCTCATTCGGGCATCAACTTATGCGACAAAAATTTGCATCTCTTAATCCACTATTCGAGCAAAATGAGAAAAAGCGCTGGTGGCGTGTTCGTGCTAAAAGTGTAGTGCAGTGTAAATGAATGCAGCCTGCTACATTTATGAAACTTACTGAACATTTAATACTTAGAAAGACGTGCAGGGCACAAATCACGTGACACACATGTTCTGAAGTAGGACAGCAGACAATAATAAGAGCATAAAATAAGAGTATAGGCAAAAGACCAAATAATATTTACAAGAAAGCAAATTCATCACTCACTGGTGACAACATGTACCAATAAATCACAATATCACTGAATTGAGAAGTACTCTTCGTGATAAAACACACCATTCAGCGGTTAATTCAAGTTTGCCGCAGCACATGTCTTGCTCGACGCTCCGTTTACTTCCTGTGCGTACTGCTGTCGCAGGTGAATCCTGATTCTTGTTCTGACATACTTTTCAAGAAGAATCTTCTCCACACAAGCTTTGTGTATGTCACAGCACCCTAACTCCAATGTTACAGATTTGCGCAGGAACTCCAGAATAGTGGCAAATGGAGCCTTGAGCGTCAAGATGGCGTCTAGTTGGGTAAAAGCCTTGATGTTCTCTTCGCACTCTATCAAGACACTCATCACAGCTTGGCTGGGGTAGACAAGGTTCCCAGCACCCTTGACATACTCTTTCAAATGAATCAAACTGCTGTGCGTATCATTACCATCCGACACTAGGACACCTTCGCAGTCCTCACAGTTGCCAATAGACTTCTTGACAAACCTAAGAATAAAACCTCCCAGGTAGGCCAGAATGTCGCACTCGACTGCAGTTAGTTCACACACGAACAGGTTCTCCAGCTCTTCAGACTCTTGGTTGACATCTTGCACCTGCTTCTTGAGGGCTGGATCAAGGAGGTCAGCCAGGTGCATGCTGTCATCAACATTGTAGCTGGAAGATGTCGGGGTGAAGAGAAACTGACTGACACAGATCAACTTCAAAGCACACTTAATGTCATATGCACTTGGCACGGGTTTTCTGAGTCGCAGCACAGAGAAAATATTCTCAAGGCAGTCCTGGCTCAACCTGCCCGTGAGAAGGTACTTATAGTTGTGCCTGTTCAGAAGTTCGTCAGACAGGCGCAGAACGACAGTGGT